GTCAGGCCATTTGTTGCTGCAAAAGTTATTAAATGGCAACAGCTAAATTAAAAAAGGAAAATTCTGAATTGAGAGAAGAAATAGCTCTATTAAACGTGAAACTAAGTCAAGTTACTAAAGATTTTGACAAGAAAATCGACAAATATGTCGAACAAGAAAGCGGCTATCTTGCTGAACAAACCAAATCTTTGAATGAATCCGAAAAGAAATCTATACAGTTTATTAGTGATCAATATGATGTCTTCGCTAAATTTAAAGAAAACTCTATGAAGGATCTGAAGCTAATCAAATCACAGATTGATGTAATATCGAAAAAGTGTGAGAATATTGCAAGTGCAATCGAGCAAGCCGAAGAGTATAGCTACAGTACAATCTTAAGATTACTGGTGTCCCACAACAACGTGAAGCAGAATCTGCAGAAGAAACTACGGCATTGTGTATAAAGTTACTTCACGCTATTGGGGCGACAGATATCTCTGAATATGACATAGATATAGCTCATCGTGTGCCCGCTAGACAACGTACTCACATGCCTAACGCGATTATCTGTAAATTTACACGTCGCATAGCCCGACATCGAGTGCTTGCTGTAAAGAAACGGACCGAAGGTCTGAAACCTGCACAACTTGAATTACCTTCCACAATTCAAATGGGTGATATTAGAATATACGAACACCTAACTCCAAGATTACAAGAATTGTTATACGAAGCAAATAAGTTTAAACGAGCCCAGCAGTATAAATTTTGCTGGGTTAAGAACAAAGCAATTTGTCTTCGTAAGTCTGATGGCGCTCCGGTCATTAGGCTCCTCAAGTTGGATGATTTGGAATCAGCCACTTAAACATGTGTTTAATCTAAGATAAGTAACCTTTTATTTGAACTATTGTCTAATAATATCCTACTACGATGGATGATTTAAGTGTGTCATCGTTGTCTGAACTGTTACCCTTTAACCATCTTGATGACATATCATTTTATGCGGTATTATACGAATTATCTCTCAATTACAACATTGATCGCGTAGAAACCCTAGTTTTTAACCTGTTAGAAGATCTGAATTTAGTAATAGACAATTTTCCAATAACAGATCATGATCCAGATCAAAATTTCTATACATGTTCACCGCCCGCTAGCAAATATGTGGTAGAAAGTGAAATTTGTGACCTAGCCAGTGAACCGCAAAAGAGCTTTAATTTGTCTTTCCTTCATTTGAATTGTCGTAGCTTGCTTGGTAATTTTGACAGGTTTAAAACTTTAACTGCAAATTCGGATACTACATTTTCTATCATTGGTTTATCTGAAACTTGGCTGAATGATGAAACATTTAATCAGGTTGATCTCCTGGGCTATGATTTCATTTCCAATCATAGAATAAATAAAGCCGGTGGGGGGGTCGGTCTATATTTACACAACCATTTTCAGTATAAACAAATTGGTAACTGCACAATCTCCAATCCTGAGGTAATTGAGTCTTTGTTTGTTGAAATTATTAATCCTAAGGGTAAAAACTCTATAGTAGGTACGATTTATCGACCACCAAACCAAAATATCGCATCTTTTCTAGAGGAAATCAACAAAATTCTATCGATTATCACTAAAGATAACAAACATTGTTATATTATGGGAGATTTCAATTTAGATTTACTCCATTATGATAGTCACCACTATACACAAGAATTTCTTGATTCCTTGTTTTCACACATGCTTATTCCTCTCATTACTAAACCGACCAGTGTAACATCTCATTCAGCTACCATTATAGATAACATATTCACAAATTGTTTTCAACAAAACACATTGAATGGATTAATCCTTAATGACATTTCAGATCATTTCCCTGTGTTTGCATATTTTAAAAAGGACTCGCCCACACGTCGAGGAAATGAAGTAATTTATAAGAGAGATTATGCGGAACGGAATTTGTTAAAATTCCAAACAGCTCTTTCACAAGTAAATTGGTCAAGCGTCTTAATTGATGAAGATCCAAATGACCTATATAACGATTTTGTCAGCGAATACAATAGGCATCTCGAAGAATGTTTTCCTCTAAAAATGTATAAGTCAAATTCTTACAATAAACCCAAAACTCCATGGATTTCAAAAGGATTGTTAGTTTCTGTAAGAAAGAAAAATAAGCTTTACAAAAAGTATATGACTAATTCCACAACTTACCGAGAGAGGAAATACAAAGAATACAAAAATAAATTGAATCATTTAATTAGAATAGCTAAGAGAACTTATTATGATACTAAATTCGAGCAAGCTAAATCCGACTTGAAAACTACATGGAAATTGATTAATGAGGTCATAAACATTCGTAAGAAGAAGTCATCTTACCCGACCTCTTTCAACATAAATAATAACATGATATCGGATCCTAAAAAAATTGCGGACGAATTTTGTCAATACTTTACTAATGTGGGTACATCCTTAGCCAATAAGATACTTCCATCAAATCATTCTTTTGAGAGTTTCCTAAAACCAGCAGTACTGGAAACTATATTCCTAAGACCAACGCACGAAAGTGAGCTTCGTGAAATATGCATGTCATTTAAAAATGGAAGAGTGTCTGGTTATGATAACATACCAATGCATACAATTAAAAATTCCTTTGAATTTATTTCAAAACCACTGACGCACATAATTAATAAGTCTCTGGAAAATGGAGTATTTCCTGATAGTTTGAAAATTGTTAAGATAATTCCAATTTTTAAATCTGGCGATATGGACAAATGTTCAAATTATAGACCTATATCAATCTTAGCAAATTTTTCCAAATTTTTTGAAAAGGTTATGCATAAACGGCTTTTGCATTTTATTGAAAAATTAGAACTTTTGTACTGTTATCAATTTGGTTTTCGTAAGAAACACTCAACTGAACTTGCACTCATCCATTTGATTAACAAAGTTGCGACCTCTATTGACGAGAACAAATTGACAGCTGGTGTAGTCCTTGACTTATCCAAAGCATTTGATACAATTAGTCATGAAATACTATTTTATAAACTTGAACATTATGGCTTCCGTGGTATCGCTTTAAGTTGGATTAAAAGCTATCTCAAAAATAGAAAACACTTTGTCCAATTTGGAAAAATTAAATCCTCCGAAGCCATTACCCGATGTGGTGTACCACAGGGTTCTATTTTGGAACCACTCTTTTTTATACTCTATATCAATGATATTCCCAACTCGGTACGCTCAGTTGAACTTTTATTATTTGCGGACGACACCAGTATTTATTATTCCCATAATGATCCTATATCGTACTTGCAAGGGTAATGAATGATGCATTGCAAAATGTTGAGCAATGGATGAGGGCGAACAAATTGAGTATTAACACAGATAAAACTAATTACGTTATTTTTAAATCTCGACAAAAGAAGATCACTAGTGACATATCTCTCGCTTTCGAGGGAATTTCTCTGGCTCGAAAACAGCAAGTTAAATTTCTGGGAATTTACTTGGACGAAAATTTGTCTTGGAAATCCCATATAAATCATGTTTGCAAAAAGATCTCAAAATCTATTGGTATAATTTTCCGTGCTCGCTTACACCTATCCCCTGAAACAAAATTATTATTATATTATACCTTAATTTATCCCTACTTGAATTATTGCAATATTATTTGGTCATCAACTTACATTTCACATCTAAGTCGTATATTTTTATTGCAAAAGCGAGCTGTTAGAATATTAACAAATTCCGATTTTCTAGCACATACCGCTCCCCTATCTCAAAGGTTAAAAATACTTGATATTTACAAGATCAACTCATTTTTTACTGGTAAATTTATGTATCTCTATTATAAACAGTTACTCCCTCCTACCTTCCTTCATTTGTTCATTAAGAGCAACGAAGTTTATAGTTATAACACGAGAAATGCGAAGATGTACCGAACACATTCATGTAAAACCACAACAAAACAACACACAATTCTTTTCAATGGCTCTAAACTGTGGAATTCGCTTCCAGAAAATATAAAACAGGCAGAAACTTTTGGTTGCTTCAGGAATGGAATGAAAAAACATTTACTCGATGAGTAGCAATGATATTGAAATTGTCGTTATATACTGTCGTTATTACGCTTTAATATTTGATAATGCATGGGTGAACACCAAAGCTAGTGGTTTGACGAATAGTAATGATATCGAAATTGTCGTTGTCGTTATTATACGTTATTATTTTTTAATATTAATATTTGATACTGCAGTGTGAATACTGACCAGAGGAGGCATCCACTTTACAAGCCTAGTGGTTTCTGGATGTCTCCTTGCCATTAATATTTTCTAAAATTGCATTAGATCTAAATATCATATATGTATTTTCTTTTTTCTTTGTTATTATCATATTTGTGGCATTAAATTAATCCATTCAATTCATTCACTATGTGTTTGGTGTGTGCTTATGCCTTAAAGACGGTTTTCCACTTCAAGTGTACCGTACCGAAACGTATCAAAAACGTTTTTAAATTTCAAAATTTCGTGAATGTTGATCGGTTAGTACTTCCGCAGTGCGCCAAAAAGTTTATTTGCGACGAACATTTCATTTTGATACGCGAATACACCCGGAAGTACGTGGATTTATAAACCACTTTTCAATCTGCGCATGCTCAAGAGTACGTTTCTGTACGATACGGGCGAAGTGGAAAACCGCCTTAAGGATTTTCAATTCCCTACAGTGTGTAAAAATTGTGACGTCACAAGGACGTCATAAATAACTATAACTAGTTCATAAATTGAACGAGTCCCGACTTGAACCCCATCGAAAATCTATTTCATTTGGTATCAAAACAGTTGGGACAAGATACCATTGACAAGCAGATCACGTCAGAAAAGTTTGAATAATTTTCCGAAAGAGTTAAAAGCACAATGATGAATTTATCAAAAAGTACTGTGTTGCAATGATCAGTGAGAAACGAGGAGAACGATTAAAGTATTAAATTTATTAAGTGTTTCTATATTACAATGTTTTTCATTCTTACCGTGTATATTGGCAGTGCCTTTTGACTTCAACAACTGTTTTAGATGGATTGCTTAATAGTGACGAATGTATTAACTGCACACTTCTACCATGCATATTCAATAATTTTCTTTTTTGACCCAATCATGCGATCATGCCGAGCAAAATGTGTACTTGTCATAGTAAAATGCCGGGCAAAGTTGCTTATATACAGCCTGGCAACTAAATTAACTTGTGATGTATGAAAACTTGTCATGACAATCTTATTCGTCTGTAACCGGCTTAAGATGATTCATCAGTAATTAATTGTTCTGAAAATGAGAATTTGCAGAACCTTCCCAAGGGCAGGGGTGAAGTTTATGATATACTCATTTAGTATTTTTGCACAAGTGAACATAACAAATCCTACACGTTGATTGGCCAAATTTGACGTAATAAGCTGTTATATTCACCTACAGATGAATATAACAAAACAAAAATTTTCTAAATGGCGGCTACCCGTTTTGTGGAAGTTTGCTGACAAAGAAATAAGCGAAATTAAAATAAATTCAGTCTCAAAAAACACGAAAGACTTGTGTAAAAATACTAAAACAATTATTCGCCTCAGGCTCGGTGATTACCGGGGAATATTATACCTCAAATTCAAATTGTCCTATGAAAAAACAGCATTTGTACCGTGTGATTTTTTACGGTATTTCACACAAATTCATGATTTCGCAATCCAGCGTGGGATGCTATAATATCCCACGGCAGATCCACCGTGGGATATTATAGTATCCCACGCTCACGCGTGACGCGTGGACACCACGCTCTGAAACAATATGGCGTTCGCGAGCTGTTGTTTGTATTAATTTCGTACAGAGCTACAGAAGATTTATTAAGTAAACCAACAACAACGCGTATGTTACATTCAACGATCCAAAGGATACTTGCTAAAATATTTTAAGGAGAAGACGTCAAAAACACAGGTATAGATAAGAAATTAAAAATTGTATTCGCGTAGTTAATAATATTCAGCAAGTTTTAAAGTTTATTCTGAACTTAATAGACTCTTAGTGAGTTCTTGAACTTTCGGTATAATATATCATTTATAGACCCTCCGCTCGGGGGATTCGGCAATATTTCCCTCAATATCATCACTTCGGGAAATATTACGCCGAATCCCCCTCGCTCCAGTGTCACAGGAAATTTGCCCCCTTCCCCCGAAAATTTGCCCCCCCCGGGCCAAATTTCCTAGGAAATTTGCCCCCCCGGGCCATATTTCCTAGGAAATATGGCCCCCTCTTCGGAAATTTGGCCCCCTCTAAAAAATTATAGTTTACTTTATCTTTCAACTCGGAAATCGTGAAGCTTCTACTAAAACTAAATTTCTATAAATTTTTCTCAACATTTATAGTTACTTTGCGTAATTGTTTGTGTCAAAACAAAATTCTGCACTGAATTCCAATACTGACGAAAATTAGGTCCAGAGAATTGCTTACAAGGCGAACACTGACGGGTTTTATGTAGCTGGATATAACCTTTGTTTTTTTGCGTGTTTGCGGAATATTTTTGTGAGTCATCCAAACCTTTGTGCTTTTGTGTTTGCGGAATATTTTGTTAGTTATTCAAACCTTTGTGCTTTTCTGTGCGCGGAATGTTTTTGTGAGCCATCAAGCATACAGTCTACTTCCGTTTTTACGGAATGCTTCTGTAATGCATCCAAACCATATGATCATGAGCGATTATATATACTGTGTATATATAAATAAAATTGCATAGGAAAAGGTTTTTTTTACGAAATAACCACTCATTTGATTTTGTTTTTCAAACAAACGTTTCCACTTAAAAGTCTACTTTTACCCTGATGCTAATTACTCCTTGCTATTTATTAAACGTGTGCATATTAACATATTCGCCAACACATGATGTCATCGTTTGCTAAATTGCAGTTGTTTAATATTCTGACTAATTTTATACTATGTGACTGAATTTTATAGATCTAAATAAGTAAGTCTTGTAATATCTTAGAAATTCCTATCTCTAAAAATCGTTAAAAATCGCTAAAAGCTAAACCATGATGTGTCTGGCATGACTGCACTAACACATTATTATTATTACGCTTTCCTTCAAACTTTTAGTTCTTGGCGGCAATGAAGAATTTCGACACAAATAAATCATGCAAACTAACTATAAATACTGACAAACACTTTTAGGATCTTGGTTTTAGAAGAAGCTTCACGATTTCGGAGCTTATTGCGATAAAGTAAACAATGTTTTCGAGGGGGCCAAATTTCCGAAGAGGGGGCCATATTTCCTAGGAAATTTGGCCCGGGGGGCCAAAGTTTGGGGGGGGGGAATTTCCTGGGACACCGGGTCTATTAATGATAAATATTCACCTCGGACTTCGTCTCGGCGAATATTCCCCGATAATCACCTCGCCTTCGGCGAATCATTGTTAAATAGCAAACAAAAAAAGTTGGGGTCACCGAAGATGTGATAAGTGCAATATGCCACCCTTTCCCTCATATGGCGCTATCTTGACCTTTTACGAGTTACAGGAACAATCACAATTGCTCAACCGTTGAAAAAAATTGAATTTTTTTAACAACAAGGATCCTCAATTTCTGTCTAGTGGTTATATACAAGAAAACATAGTATTTTAGCGAATCAAAAACCATTGACGGGCATTGTTGTGGTGCAAAGATGTCATTTCCCATCTTCTCAGACGTGTTATTTTGGGAAGCATGCGCGAAAAATGGAAAATATTATAAGTTGTAGAAATGATTTTCTCTTATTTCCTGACATGTAAAACGTATAGAATTGGAACAAAAATATAAAATAAAAAAGTTGGGCCACAAATGTAACATCATGATGTGGTTTAAGCCCTGGGCAAACTAGGAAACATTGTTGCTGGAACATCTACAAATGTTTCGCCATGTTTCCAAGAGTGGGCAAACACTGGGAAACATTAGTGAGAAACATAGGGAAACATCACAAATGTTTCTGAATTTGCTAGGAAACATTTTTGCTTCTCGGGAAGCAAATTTTGTTTCCGCAACAATGTTTCCACGGGTGGGCAAACAGGGAAACATTTGAGGAAACATCGAGAATCACAACTGTTTCCACAACAATGTTTCCTAGTTTGCCCAGGGCTTTAGTGTTAGTTTTGAATTACGCCCAATCCTGAAGCACGCCTAATCAATGCAGAGTGTTTTCCTCTTTTCCCTTACACTCTTTATCACTTTATATTGCAGTTCGACTACAAACACTAGCTAGAATTAATTTGTTATTAGATATGCGCAGTAAAAGTGCGCAATGCAAAACTGATGAATCACCTTAACTGCTACGCAGGCTAAAGACAAACGCAAACAGATTACAGATCACTATACTCTGCTTCAATACCCGGAGAAACTCGCGGAGTTTAGCAGTCAATTCAAATTGGAAACACTCTTCTCGCGTGCGACTAAGGTGAAATTACACAAATGCGCACGGCAATAGTAATTGAAAAAAACAAATTCCGAAAAGACAAGAGATCTTGTGATTGAATATGTGATCTAGAATATGTGATTCAAAACAAGATTTTATTTCAAAGTCATCTTCAGACAGAATTAAATACAATAATGCTCTCTGTCTGCGTTAGTGCGTTGTATATATATATATATATATATATATATATATATATATATATATATATATATATATATATATATATATATATATATATATATATATGTGTTGTAAAGAATTATATTTCGTAATTCATTCTGTCTGAAGAAACACCGCGGAAAAACGTCCGCGCATGCGTGGGCCACAAAAAAGATGGCGAGGAATTTAAATGCGAAATTGTGAACAAAAACATGACTTTTTAATTATTTAAGGTAATTGACAAACAAAAAATACACTAGACGGGTAGTTTAGACTTTAATAAAAAAACTTTCTAACATTTAAAATCTAAAAAGAAACAGAATTTAAATTAAAAATTACCGTTTAAGACCAGGAGGCGTGTGAAAATTTCTTGAAAAATTGTCGAATACCGAACTTAAGCATAAAAGTTAAGAAAACTATAGAATAGTTAAGCATTTGCACACGATTAAAATGTGGAGTAAATCATTACCCTTAAATATAGTCAACGCAAAAATTATACATGCTACGCAAAAAAAGTTATTGACAAAAATGTGGATCATATGAACCTACGAGAAATATCTTTGTATGCTTCAGTTAAAGAACGTTTTATACAATAAATTTATCGACAGTCACCTTTGGTTTATTTTCTTGCACAATACTACTTCTTGCATATGTAGATGATAATTATTTCTGGTTTTTAGGTTGTCACGTTCATTATTCCGCTTGCATTTTCATAGAAAAGGCAAAACATCGAAGTCGCTTCCATTTTGAATTTTTGACAACATTCGGAACACTTGACATCGCGTTCGCAATACAGATTTCAGTAATGTTGACGCATGCGCAGACGTTATTCCGCGGTGTTGCCTGAAGATGAAAACCGTGGAAAAACGTCTGCGCATGCACCAAATTATGAAAATATGGCGGGGAATTTGAATATCAATTTCTAAAACAAAAACATGCTTATTAATTGGTCAAAAATTAGTAAAACAAACGAGAAAATATAGCAAATGGGTAGACTAGACATTAATTGAAAGCGTCCTGGCATTTAAAGTATGGAATGAAATATAATTCATGTAAAAAAATGTTGATTTTAACGGACACGACTTCGAAAATTTTTGCAAAATTATTCAAAACAAAAATTCAAACTAAAAAGTTAAGAAAACTCTCGAAAAGTTAAGCTTCTTAACCCACTCAAATTGTAGAATAAATCCTAAAGTTTAATTATTGTGAACACGCAAATTTTTTATATTTGGCGACACAGTTTTTTTTAAAGAAATGTATCTCAAACGAAAATTCGGAAATTGTCATTGCTTAGTTGATAAACAAAATGTTTCAGACGATAAATTTGTCAACAATCACCTTTAGTTCATGTTCTTGTACAATACAATTTCTTGAACCTTCTGGCTGTATTTATTTCTAGTTTTTAGAATGACATGTTTATTTTTGCGCTTGAAATCTGGCTGTAAAGACGCACAATGTCAATGAAGTCACTCCTTTTTACCGCCATTTTGAGCCTTCGGAAAAGTTCGGAACAGCTTCTCATCAAGTTCGCAATACTATTACTATGACTTTGAATTAAAATTTACAGTCTCAACCTGCGTCTTGTTTTGAATCATATATTATATTCTCAAGATGTCTTGTCTTTTCGGAATTTGTTTTTTACTTTACTTTTTTAAATTGTCGGCTGGTCATGGCTTTTGGTCCAGATTAATAGTAATTGATGTCTATAACTTTGCATTTTGTTTATAGGGCAATACATTCAACGAAAGAACTGACTGTGGACATCAAAGCGCAGAAAGTTTCATCAAATTTGTCAAAGAGCGATGTGAAGAATTGCAGAGAATTTCAGGTAGTGTTTGTTTGTTTGTTTGTTTGTTTGTTTGTTTGCTTGCTTGCTTGCTTGCTTGCTAGCTTGCTTGCTTGCTTGTTTGTTTGTTTGTTTGTTTGTTTGTTTGTTTGTTTGTTTGTTTGTTTGTTTGTTTGTTTGTTTGTTTGTAACTTGAACTGATTTTCAGATAAACTATAAGAGCATTGACGGGCAAACGTGCAAGTTAAAAGTGAACGCAAACTAAACATGCAAAATTAAGAGTCTGTTGGGCAGATTGAAATTAAAAATTGGGAAAATTCTATAAAATTGCATGGGCAAATGAGGAAAAAATTAAAGCCGAGAACCGGTAGGTGTATCAAAACAACATCATAAAAGAAGGAAAATATATTAGGACTGGAAAAAATTATAATACGTCGGGCAATTTCATGAACGTCAGGCAAATTTTTGGAAAATAGGCCCCTTCCCGTTCACTGATTTAAAAAAATCATACACTCGTGAGTTTTTCAAAGACTTCAAATTGGACTCGTCCTTCGGACTCGGGCACAATTTTGATAGTCTTTGAAAAACTCACTTGTGCATTTTTTTCCAATTTGCACTCGAAATCATACCTGTATAAATATAATAATTTTTTGATATATTTTAGATCGATCTGCACTTGGCCTTGCGGCTGAAGCTGATAGTAATACTATATCAGAGTTACAGATCTTATTGAATACGTATAGAAGGGGCTTAGCGCGTCTATTACAGGGCAAATGTTGTTACCACTTAATTCAAAGCGAGTATATGGAAGTCTATTATTATGCCAACGAACTCAAAAACGTTGCAACGAATCTATCCAATACTGAGTTCTCTCAAGACGCAAAATCTCTGTTGTCGAAGAAATTTGTTAAAGACATGAATCTCGGAGTCAAATCTGACCTTCTTAAAACGCACTCAGATATTGTACAGGATAACCTACAGTTTATCGAACAATTAACAAGCAATGAACTTGCTATTCAGGAATATATGTTACTACGTCAACTGTTCGGTGTCCACATGCTTCATTGTGATTTTCAGTTCTGTTTAGACTTGTCCAACCAACTTCTAAAAATCGCCATCAGCGTTCAAGATAGAGAACGGACCATTGACATGTTAGCAGAGTCTGCAAACTTGTATTTGGTGCTTGGAAAACATCAGCTGTCTTATGATGTCATGAAAGAAATGCAAGCTTTAAAAATAAATGATTGTCGCACGCAATGCGTCGTTGTTTGC